CGCTCGCTTCCGGGTTTGCCGTTTGGCCCCCTCTCGCCCTGCTCAGCTCAGTTCATGCCTCGGCCTCCGGGTCTCGGTGCGTCAGATGCCCGCGGGGCCGCGCCTGTCGGTTCGCCGGGCCGTGCTGGCGCTCCCCGCGTTCCCCCAGCTTCTGCTATGCAGCTTTGTGCTGCCCAGCTCAGCTCAGGCAGCTCTATGCAGCTCAGTGCAGCTGAGCGCGCTGGCCCTCCCCGGCGCTCCCTTGCCTGGACCTCTCCCTGCGCGCGCCCTGTTGACCCGCTGGTCTCGGCGCTCGGCCCATCCTTGGACCGTGGCTTGGGCCGGATTGGGGTTCGCTGCGTTGTATTTCTCCATCGCCAGTTGCAGCGCAGTGCTGCTTCCCACACAGCTTCAGCTCAGTGCAGCCCAGTGCAGCTCAGTGCCGGCGCTGGTCCCCGAAACAGTGCCCCCCCGCCGCAGTCAGCAGCTATGAGTGGCCCGGTCTTCTCCCCCTGTCGCGCTGGGGCTCCTCCTCCTCCTCCTCCTCCTCCTCCTCCGTGCATTGCAGCCTTCATTTGCATGCAGCGTGTCTCCTGTTGCCATTCCGCCGGGGCAGTCACCTTCTGCCCAGCCGCCGACGCAAAAAGTGTGTGGGAATGGGCGTGGACGTGGGCGCGTGGGCGTGGGCGTGGGTGTGGGTGCGGGTGTGGGTGTGGGGCGTGGGCGTGGGCGTGGGTTCGGGTGTGGGTGTGGATGTGGGTGCGGGGTAGGTGTGGGTGTGGGGCTGGATGTTGGTGTGGGTGTGGGCGTGGGCGTGGGCGTGGGCCTGGGCCTGGGCGTGGGCGTGGGTGTGGGCGTGGGTGTGGGAGTGGGTGTGGGCGTGCGCGCGGGCGTGGGCGTGGGCGTGGGCGTGGGCGCGGGCGCGGGCGCAGGCGTTGGCGCTGGCGTGGGCGCGGGCGTGGGCGTCGGCGGTGGCGCTAGCCGGGGCGTGGGCGTTGACGTGGGCGTGGGCGTTGGTGTGGTTCCGAGGTTGGGTGCGGGAGGGGCATGGGCATGGGCGTGGGCGTGGGCATAGACGTTGTTATGGGCGTCCGTGTGTGTGTGTGTGTGTGTGTGTGTGTGTGTGTGTGTGTGTGTGTGTGTGTGTGCGTCTGTGGGTGTGGTTGTGGATGTGGGTGTGGGTGAGTATGTGTGTGGGTGTGGGTGTGGGCGTGGGCGTGCGCGCGGGTGTCGGTGTGGGCGTGGGCGTAGGTGTTTGCGTTGTGGTTCTGCTGGTGTGGGTGCGGGCGTGGGTGTGGGCGTGGGTGTGGGCATGGATGCGGGTGTGGGTGTGGGTGTGGACACGTGTGTGAGCGTGGGCGTGGTTGTTGGCGTGGGCCTGGGCGTTGGTGTGGCTGGTGGCGTCGGTGTGGGCGTGGGGGCGTTTGACGTGGACGCGCGAGCAGTTGGCAATCACTTGCCCGCTACTTCCGCAGCTTTTGCCAGCAGCGCCGCCTCCGCGTCAGCTCAAGTTGCGCCGTGGAGGCTTGGCTGCTGCCCGCGGCCTCGATGAGTGCCATCCCACCCTAGTCACTCTCCACGAGCTACAACGACGACCTATGGCGCCCCCCCGGACTCAAGGGACTTACGTGGCGGCATCTGTATTCAAGCATCCCCCCCATGGATGCCGAGCCATTGTGCAATTCTCCAACCAGCAAGGTCTCATTGCTCTACGGAGAAAGCCCTAGTGGGGCACATCAGCTGCATGCCAGTGTTCTTAGACTTCGACGCCGTCCACGATGTCCAATGGCGTGATGCTCTCGGCCAGATTGGCCATGGGCATGCATGGAGTATCATTGACCGCGGAGTCTTATTGCAGACTATGGTGGTGTTCAGAGTTACAAGCGCGACGTCAAGACGTACTCGCTATGTCGCGGCAACAACGCTCCCTGTGCAACTGGGCTTCTCATGCGTCCTCCTAATGTGCCTTTGTGGTCTTGTAGATTTGCCCTCTCGACCTCACTGTGTCCCGCTGTGTCTAAAGAGAGGAGGGGGAGTCGAACCCCGTGGCGACTGGCCGCGGAATCGCGACCGATCGCATAGTTGGCGCGGGTCCGCGCCTTTTCACCCCAATGCGGATGCGCGGGGTCGCCGCTGCCATTTACGAGCCCTGCTTTGCCAGCCATGGTTCATCCTTGATCGATTGTCCAGCTAGGTCTGCCTTAATAGACTTTCTGCGGCTTTTGGCCCTGGGGACTTTGTTGGCGCGGCAACGTGGCGTCAGCCTGGCGCGTTCAATTTCCACATTGCTTCTGTGCTCGGTGGAGATTGAGCCGACTACCGACCTTTCGGTTTTGCATCATCGTGGCCGCGGTCTTGAATATATGCCAGGGTGGCAGCGGTCTTGCGACGCCCCCCCTTTCGCGTTTGAATGTGGGGCTCCGATGGGCGGACTTTTTATGCTTGCGTGACTCGCTCCCGCCTGGTGTCAAGGCGTCGCCGCCCGAGTTGCCCGCGCCTCGGTGCGCTCTTTGAGGCGGTGTACGGGAAATAGGCATCCGATTCTGCTTTCACCGCCGCCGCAATTTACCTCCCAGTTTAATGCATCGTTTCTTACCATGAGATGGCGACCCTCTTTTTGATTACTCTTGTGGGGCTTTCGGGAATCTGTGGGGTCTATCGGGGGCTTCCCTATGGGGCTTTAGGTGCCTCCCAGGGTTCTTTTGGGCTTAATTCGCGTCTTTGACAAACGTGTGTTTCTTTGTGATCATCCTGTGGTTTCTGGGGTTGTCTCTGGGCATCTTGCAGCCCTGTGCCGCTTTTGGGCTTTCGGGGGGTGGCGGTCTTGGGGTCTCCTTGGGGCTCTCGAACGGGGGGGGGGGCGCGGGTTCGGGGTCTTTAACGGCTCTCTTGTGGCCCCCGTGTGGCCACTTCGGCACGCGAGAAATCCTTCCAAACTAGCGGCCAACGCAATCGACAACCGCTTGTGTCTAATGTGAATCTGACCCTCTTGGTAGCATCTGGGGAAAAAGGTTATTCGGCCGTCTTTTCTGGTGAGAGTATTTGGCTGGTCTTTTTGCCGTCTTGGGACCACCCCGGCGAAGTGTCGAGACCGTCTGGGGACCACCTTGCGGCCAGCATGGATCGTGGCACGTTTTGATTCGCGCTCGTGGCGCACCCAGGGGGGGGTCGCCCGCTCTTGGCGGGCTTTCGCCCGCTCTCAGGGCGCCTTTCGCCCGCTCCAGGGAGGGCTCTCGCTCCGATTTGGTCCGCCGCCTCCCTGGGCCGCTACCGCGCTTTCGGGGTGGACGCGAGCCTCTGCTCATCTTTATGCGGGCTACTTGTGTGGAGGGCCTGCCGCTGGGCGGCAGTCGCGGTGGTCCCACCCATGGGGTAGATAGCACGTGCATGGTCCAATCGACGAGAGTTCGGGCGCGTGGTCGTTATGGAGCGCTTTCGGAGCCCTGTTGGGGCTCTTTTGGGGCTGTCTTGGGGCTTCTCGGGGCCACTTTCGTGTTTTTGAGGGGTCCTGAGGCTTTTTTGCGAGGGGGCTCTGGGGGTGTCTGGGGCGGTGTTGGGCCTTCTTCGAGCCATGTCGGAGCTGGTTTTGAGGTCAGTTGGGAGCTTCTGGGGCAATCTTGGGGCCACCTCGGGGGCGTCGTTCCCCGTCCGGGGGTCTCTTCGGGGCATCATGAGCTTTCTGGAGCACATCTCACGGCCATATCCGAAAAGCGGGAACTGCCAGAATCGTTGAAACCTGTTTTGGAGATTCCATTTGGGTTCAGTAGTTTTGGCTCGCGGGGGCCTACGCGGAACCGTCTTGGCACCCCTGCTTGCCTCTCGGCGCCAATTGAGGGCTTCTGTGGACCACCCCAGGGCCACTTCTGGCCGTTCTGGGTCGTGTTTTGGGCTGTTGAGGTCTATTTCGATCGGATCGATCCGATCTGATATCGATTTCGGCTTTCGCGGTCCGATTGGGTTTCGATTCTCCAGCGATCCGATGCGGCCCCAGTGCTTGCAGGGCGCTCTGGTCTGTCCTGGCGCAACCGATCCGATTCGACTTTAGATTTCGATCCCGTGTCGATGCAGCTCTAGCCAACGCACATTCCGATCCAGTCCGATTTCCCGGTTCGATGCTGACTCATCCTGCATTCTGGGGGCGGCAGAAAGGGGGGTGGTGACTAGGGGGGGAGTGGATATCATGGCGTGGGCCATGATATTTTCGGAGATTTCATGGCGCCTCTTCTTATTTCATTACGCCCCTGGCCCCCCCTGGGGCCGCGCACATGCCGCCTGCCATGTTTCCCCCCCCCCCCCCCGCTTGGACGCCCCCCTCTTGGCCGTTCCCGAGCATTCTGGGGGCCTTGAGGGGCCAGGTGGGCTATCACGCAATTTCTTGGTGCCGGGAAGGTGTGCCGAGGAGCTCCCAGCCCGACTCCCCGAACGGATTTTCGGAGTGCTGGGGAGGGGGAAGTAAGGGAGGGGTGCAGCCATCCATCTTTCACGCCGTGCCACCTGTGGCACGTGGGGGTCGATGGGATCCTGATGCTGCCACCTCTGCCCGCCGTCTAAGAGGGAGTCGCACGCGGGGAGTTGATTGGGCAGGCGATCTGGCATGCTCCCAGGCCAGGCCCCCGGCTCGGCCCCGTGCTAGGTCCCAGACCGACCAGGCCATCACCGTGTCCGACCAATGCATTCCGTAATCTTCTTGCGCGTTGTTTTTCCGATCGCCCCCAAATGTCTTGTTGAGTCTGGTTTTAGCCATGGCCACAGTTTTTCACGTGGGTGACATGCGTTGAGTGTAAGGAACCACTGACGTCCAGATAATCTTGCAGATCTCATGGAACACCCGAATGTTTCTTTTGCCACCCGTACTCTTGGACATAAGGTTGCAGCATGATGCCGCATCGAGACGTGCATGATTGTTATGTCCTTCGGGCGCCCGCCAGGGCTGGGGAAGTGGTCACGGCTTGAGCAGATGGGCCAGGCAGGCCCGTGCTTGTGTCCGTGGCAGGAGCAGGGAGTCTAGGCGTGCTCGTGCACCTCGCCCCACTTTTTGTTTGTTTTTATGTGCTATCGTCCCAAAATCACACTTTGTGCAAGCCGTTTCGGCTCTGGCGCGTCGACGGCAGCAGCTTGCGGTTCCCGAGCGGGCATTCGAGACAAGAGCAGCCATGGCGGCAATTTCAGTTTTGATCAGCGCCGCCAGCCTCGTTTGTGCTCACGCAGCCGAGGCCGATAAGCCCTTGGAGTTCAATGGGGTCGTTGTGGCCGCGGGCCTTGCCGCGGTCATTGCTACGGGGGTGGGCCTCATGATCTATCAGACGCCCAAGGACATGCGCGGGCCTGCCAAAATGTTCAAGGTCAAGACTTTGAACGGAATCGAGTCATTGCCCCAGGTGATCCTTCCCAACGTACTCCCCGCCGCGACTGTGACGATGGTGGCCGTCCCCCTCAGCCTGGCTCTCGGCATTGCCACTGGCACAACGCCGATGACGGCTATTGCCACTGCCATCGTTGCCGGCCTCGTGAGCGGCGCCTTCGGGGATTCGGCCTTCAACATTGTGGGCCCCGCCGGGGCGCTTGTGGGCATCCTCATGCGCTTCACGGCCACATACGGCGCAGAGGTCCTTCCATGGCTCTCCTTGATGTCCGGGTGCATGATCGTTCTCACGATCCTTCTCCGTCTTCACGAATACTGCATGTTCATGCCTAAGGCAGTCTTTGAGGGCTTCACTGTGAGTGTGGCGCTCACCATCGGCTTTGGCCAGACAGACTTCGCCTTGGGCCTCAGCTCGAAGGCCCCGGTCAAGATTGAGGGTCTCGAGCTCTCCCCGGGGATCTGGAAGTTGGGCGCGTCCATCAGCGCCATTTCAACCATCCAGGCACCGAGCACTATATTCTTCCTTGTCGGCTTCACTACGATGTACGTTCTCTTCAAGATAAAGCCCTCGATCCCCTGGATGGTGCCCTTCGCTTTCGTTGCTTGTCTCATTGGCGCTCTGTGCGACGAGGACGCGCTGGGTGTCGTCCCGCTGGACCTCCCCAATTTGAGGTCCAAGTATGGGACTCTGACCTTCTGGGCGGTTCAGGGGTTGAAGCCCCTGACGCAGATAGTTGCGGATGCCAACGATGGAGAGGGGGGCAGCTACGGGGAACTATTGATGGGTGCTCTCTCCGTCACGATTGTGGCAGTCCTGGAGACGCTGATCAGCGCCCAGATCGCGAAGACCCGTTCAAAGATGCCGTACGACGATGTGAAAGAGCTCCAGGGTCTGGCCTTGAGCCATTTTGCATGTGGGATCTGCGGCCTCATGCCTCCCACCGGCGTCTTCGTACGCACCAGCGTGAACTTGTCCACTGGGGCCACTCACAAGACGTCGCAGTTCATCCAAGGTTTCTTGGTCTTCATATTCGCCGCAGTTGCCATGAAGTTCGTGTCCTACATCCCCCAGGGCGGCATTGCGGCCATCCTCGTCATGTCGTGCTTCCGCATGGTGCCGTGGGGCTACGTGCAGAAGTTGTGGAACGAGCAGAAGTGGCACTTTGGGCTCCTCTGCGTGGTGGCTCTGGTGTGCTGGATCGTCGACTCCGTGACCGGGCTTGTCGTCGGCACGATGGTGGCCCTGCTCGTCACCGGCAAGGAGACCGCGCGCGCCCACGCAGAGGTCTCGATCACGGCGGCGGGCAACAAGCGGCTCGCGGACGGGTCTCCCGAGATGATCTCCATCGATGCCCTCAAGGTCGACAAGGTGGACCTGGCGCGCAAGGAGCGGGAGGACTCGGACTCCTCGGAGGATGAGTCCTCCGAGGAGTCGGAGCTGGAGTCGCAGTTGGCCAGGCGAGCGTTTTCTTATTCGGCGTTTCGGCATTGGGCGGAAGGGGGGGGAGGGGGGGATCTTGCGCCGGACCACTGCTTAATGCGACTGCTTGCAGCAGTGCGTCCCATGGGAGAGCCCCCACCCTGCGTGCGACAGGCGCCTGAAGCGGCCGAGATCCAACCCATATGGGGGGGGGGGGGGGAAAAGGGGGGGGGCGAGGGCCCGCGCCGATCGGCAAGACGAGGAATAAGAGAACGACCACCAGCGCGAAGCCGAACTACTCGCACATGGCGTACGCCCCCGAGTTCGACCAGTTCAGCCGCGCGGCGCCCGGCCGGCAGTACTCGCCCGGCAGCGACTTCGGCCGGCAGGAGAGCGTCACGCCCGAGCTGTTCGCGAGCGAGGGCAGGGAGACCCGTGGGGAGGGGGCGGAGGAGGAGGAGGAGGAGGAGGAGGAGGAGGAGGAGGAGGAGGAGGAGGAGGAGGAGGAGCGAACCATCGCCCCCCCCCCCCGAGGCCAAGTACATGCCGGTCGTTGAGAGTAGGTGTTGTTGCAGTCGGGCCTGTCCCTCTACCGGGGGAGTATGCAAACATAGCAGGAAAATAGTTTTGGGACGGTTTTTCGACTTTTTTTCGGGGGGGCCATTTTCGAATCTTTCTGGACTATTTCTCTTGTTTTTCGGTCGGAAGTCCGCCTGTACAGGGGGACACGCCCGACCGAAAGGTATTGTTGGATTCCGCAGATCCCAATATACTTTTTGCGCCTGCCTACTCCAAGAGTTGATACGCTTCTGCTGAAGTCTGTTGTGCTCTGGGATGGTCTGGGCCCAGTCCACTTTGCCCGCCTACTTGTTTTTTGGGCGATCAAGGCAGATCCTTGGGTGAGCAACGTGAGTATTTTTTGGGCCTTCTGCAGCAGTTCTTGCTTTCAAACATCTTTGCCTCCAGTGGCCAATCTTTGCCTCCGATGCCACGGGACTTGGTCGACGCCGATCTCGATCGTGGTCCATGCCGGCCGTCGCCGATTCGCAAGGATGATCCACGAGTTGTCCAGGGGAACAAACATTGACATAAACATAAAAACTCGGAGGTCCGCGCAGACCTCCGAGTTTTTATGTTTATGCCACTTTCTGTTCCCCTGTTGTCGCCGACCAAGACGGAAGGTGACCAGTATCGGCCGGACGTTTCCGCGTTGCATCTTGGCAGTGGTCCCTGCTCTCTCCCGCTCCAGGAGCGTCTCACGCCGACGGTGCGCGGCGACCGCGTCTTCCTCTACAAGTTCCTCGGGCAGCTGGACTTCTTGGCCGGGGACCGGCACGTGGATCGCATCCAGGGCATCCTCAAGTCTGGGCCCAAGGCCGTAGTGCTCGCCATGCAGAACGTGCCCTGGGTGGATCCCGACGGTCTGGAGGCCCTGCGGGACATCGTCGCGATGCTCGACGATAACGACGTGAAGGCCTACCTGGCCTGTCCCCGCCCGAAGGTCACAGAGGTCCTGGAGATGGAGGCGTGGTACCAAGAGAAGATGGGCAGCGACGATTTTGTCCACTCCACGGAGATCTGGTGTTGCTAGAAGTGCCCCTGGCCCAAGGTGCCCCCAGGATTTGCCAGGAGGCCCCCAAGGCTTCTAGAGCGCCCCTAACGGGGCCGAGAGGGCCCAGTGGCTCCGAAACGGAGGGAAACGCTGGGGGCACCCTGGGCCAGGGGCACCTGTGGCAACCCCCGAGGAGAAGTCTGCCCTCATCTTCGCGGTGGGCAAGTCCCAGGGCGGCGCCGCCGCTCCGAGCAACATGTTGACGGGCGCCTAACTTCCACGGGCAGGGCAAAGGGTGATCCTCCAGGCTGATCTGGGAATTCCGGCCCGGTCGAGGGCGCATTTTTCCATAGGCCTCAGTTTTCTGTTCGTTTCGCGAACGCCGCGAGCCGTAGGCGAGAGAGCAGCCTGGAAGCTGTTGGCGATCTGGATGCAGTTCGAGCGGTTCGTAGTTGGACTCATCTCGACGACGTCCAGGATCCTCGGGGTGAATTGTGGAGGGATGTTTCCCGAGGAGCGTGGTTGTCGGCTGCCTTCCTGGGAGGATGTCTTTCCAAGGGAGTCCAGGATGAAATCGTCTTGAGCTCCGTGATCTCACACGCCCTTTGACTCCAAGTGGTCGGCGGAGTTTCAGACGTATTTCAGAGGTCGGATGCAACTACTGGGAGGTCAAATTCTGATTTGACCCTGGTCCGAAATCCGGCTAAATCCCGCTTAATCCAGCTTCATTCCGTTAAATCCCGCTCAATCTGGCTTAATCCCGCTTAATCCGAGGCCCCTTCCTCTTAACTCCTTGAGACGAAGACCTCTCAGTAGTTGCCTTCTAATCAGAGGTCGCAAGCATCATGCCATCGCACGGCGCAGTATTTCAGGTTATCTCACAGAGGCCTGCGTGGGCATCATTTCGGCTTCCTTTTTCAAGCTCCGCGGGTGACGATCGTCACACTGATTTTGAAGGCAGCGTGTTGTTCGGGGACGGGCATGCGGCGGGTCCAAATGAAGACAGCCGAGCTGCTCATGTCTTTCGAGCACTCGCCCCAAATAGTCAGATCACTCGAGTTAATCATTTTTTCCGAATCGTGCGATGGTAGTCAGGATGTCCTCGGTGCGTTCTGCACCGTCGAGCCAGTGTTCACATCAACTGACCCTCCGTGCTGTGCCTCTCATCAGAGACGCGATCACGCGGTGCTCGGTAAAAAAATCGACCATCAGAGTTTGATAGGCCTCCTACCCTGACACGTCGATCAGTGAATTGGCCGTTTTCGGTTCGCGAGAGGGCGTCGCGGCCGTTATTTTTACGGGTCCAGGTCCGTCGGTTTGGGTCCCAGACCGTCTTCACTCAAGGGTGGCTTCCTCCAGGGAGGTCTGTCCACCGCCGAGGCCAGACCCTCCGAAACGCCAGGGCCGTGCACACACACGCAGTGCCCCGCCGCCCCTCCGAAGCACCCCCCGCCCCCGCGACCTCCGCGGCGCGCCCGCGGGGGGGGGCGGAGGGCCGAAGGGGGGCGGGCCTCCTCCGAGGGCTCGGAGGGCCTCCTCCGCCGAGGAGCAGCTCTCCGAGGCCTGCTCTCTCCGAGGCCGCCGAGGGCCCCTCCGAGGGTCGAATGGGCTCTCCGAGAGGCCCCGCCGCCTGCGGAGCAGGCCCGCCCCATCTCGCCCCCCCCCCGGGAGGCCGCAGAGGGCCTCTCGGAAGGGCGGGGGGCTCTCCGAGAGGCCCCGCCGCCTGCCGAGGAGGCCTGCTCCATCTCGACCTCCCTCGGCGCGGCGCCGCCGAGCCACCCGCATGAGGGGGGGAGGGGGGGGGAGGGGGGAGGGAGGAGCGAGGAGGGAGGAGGGGGGAGGAGGAGGAGAAGGAGGAGCAGGAGAGGAGAGGAGGAGGAGGAGGAGGAGAGGAGGAGGAGGAGGAGAGGAGGAGGAGGAGGAGGGAGGAGGAGGGAGGAGGACGACGACGACGACGACGACGGCGACGGCGACGGCGACGGCGACGGCGACGGCGACGGCGACGGCGACGACGACGACGACGGCGACGACGACGACGACGACGACGGCGACGACGACGACGACGACGACGACGACGACGACGACGACGACGACGGCGGCGACGGCGGCGGCGGCGGCGGCGGCGACGGCGGCGGCGGCGGCGGCGGCGGCGGCGGCGGCGGCGACGACGACGACGACGACGACGATGGCCCCATCATTGCACCTCATGCTGGCGGATGGGGCCGCATTGGGCTTCGGTGAGGTGGGAGCTCCGCACGGGTTGGTGGCCACCTCTGGCGGGGGACCTGTCGCCGAGCTGGGCATGCGTCGGGGGCTGGTGTGGGTGGGCAGGCTGGGCACCGACCTGTGGCCGCGCCGCTGCTCTTGTGGGAAGCGTTGGGAGACATGATCGGACGGGGCCAGGACGAGGACAACTCCGTTCCAGGGCGCTCCGGAACGCTCTCAGAGCGCTCTGGAACGCGCTGGGGAGGCTGCGGCGCCCGAGACCTCCTCCAGAGCCGCTGGATCTCAGCGATTCTCGATCTTCCTCGCCAGATTTTATCCTCGTCCTGGCTTCCCAGATCCCCGACGTCATGATTTTTGCATGATGTCGACCCCCAGAAGTTTCGACCCAGTCCCCAGGACCAGTTTTTCATCCTGGGTCGTTTTTTGATGTCCCTGAGGCCCAGAAAGGACTCCCAGAGGCCGAAAATTGCGGAACACCTCCAGTCGTGTTTCTTTTCATTGCTCGAGGGGGTCTGGGTTCTTCTTAAAGTGAAGTCGGGCATGTCTCTCGACAGTCGGAGTCTTCAAAAATTGTTGAAAAAATGGTCTGGGGACGATGTTTCGACTCTTTTGGAGGAGCAGTTGTGGACTATTTTGTCCTTCTCTTCCCAGATCCTTATGCAGGGGGATATGCCCGACCTAGTCTTGGAGGAGCTTCGCACACCCAGTAGGTTTCGACTGCCTCTGGGTTGGGCGTTGCGTAATAGGGGGGCCATCAATAGGGGGGGTGGCGAGGGTGGTCCGAAAAGGTGCCCAAACGGTACCTAAACGAGCCCCCTGGGGCACGAAAGGGGACTGTTTCTGACCCCCTCATGTATGATCGGGGGTGGACAGACCTCCTACCCCGACACGTCGATTAGCGAATTGCCCGTTTTCGGTTCGCGTCCAGGCCCCAGGCCGTCGTTTTGGCGGGTCCAGAGGTCCGTCGGTTTCGGTCCCAGGCCGCCTTCCCGGAGAAGGTCGCTCCCTGAAGGGAGGTCTGTCCACTGCCGATATGACACCCCCACGGAGCCACGCTTCAGTCGCGCTTGTCCCTCTACAGGAGGAACATTCCCAAACATAGTCAAAAATAGTCCGGGGACGATTTTGAGACTCTTTTTGCCCATGGGGGGCGGGAGTATCTTTCGAGCATTTTTTTGGTTTCCCTGGCCGACAATCCCCCCCGGTAGGGGGACTCGCCCGACTCAAAGAGCCACGCCCCACGGGGGGGGGGGCGGTCGCCCGGCGGGTCCGCCGCGGCCGCCCCCCTCCCTCGCGCGGGCAGGGGCGGGCGGGCTCGGCCCGCCCTCGGTCGGGCCAGAACGAGGGGGGGGGGGGCGGGAGCGGGCGCCGCGCCCCCCCCGGGGCGGCACGCGGAGGCCTCGCGCGCTCGCTGGCCTCCCGCCCCGGCGTCGGGCGCGTGCCTCCTGCAGGAGGAGTGCTCGAGGGCAGCCACAGGAAGAGTCGTCTTGTGGGGGCGAGGCTGCGATGGTTTCTGGACCATCTTTTGGAGCACTTCTGCGAGGTCTACTTCTCATGTCTCTTCCACCGTCTGTAGGAGGACGTGCCCGACCTGATCCTTCCTTCTTCCTCGTCCTTCTCCTTCTCCCTATCCTCCTCCTCGCACAATGGGGGGGGGCGGAAGAAAAGGAGAAGGATCACGGGGTGGCCGAGGTGATGGGTAGTACCGCACAAACGCATGTGAGGCAAACGTGCCCCTTCTTTGCGTAACACTCCACTATCAATTTGATGGGACGGATTGATTCAATGGGGTCAATGATTCGAATTCCTGATTCTAAAGCAATCGTGTACTACGACATCTGAGTTTCGGCGCTCCAGCGACCCCGCCGAGCTCTTAGAGGGCCCCCCCCGGGCGAATATCGGCGCCTTGCCTTGCCTTGCCTTGCCTTGCCTTGCCTTGCCTTGCCTCCTCCTCCTGCCTCCCCCTCCCCTCCATCTCTTGAAGGCATCCTGGAGGCTTCTCGAGAGGCCTCTGCGAGCCCCTCGAGAGTATTTGGGGGGCCCTCTTCGGGGATCCTCGGGGACCTGCTGGGGGCCCGCGTGTTTGTTTGGGGGCCTCGGCGCCGTCGTCCGCGCAGTGGTTCGAGCGAGGTCTCCCGAAAGGGCTCGGCCGAACCTTCTTGGGGTCCTCGGCGGGCCTCGTGGCCGCCTCGGAGCCCTCCTGGGCCATCTTCGGGCCCGCCCGAGGCGGTCTTGGGGGCCTCCAGCGGCCCTCTGAGGCTCTCAGGGCGATCTGAAGCCGAGAAGCCTCGGCAGGGCACGAGCAGAGAGCTCGTCGTGCATTCTCTGAGGTGCTGCGCCCCGCCGGGGCCTCCCCAGGCACGTCCCTCTGTGCCTCCCCGGCCTCCCGGGGCGTCTCGGGGAGGCCTTGGGACCTCCGGGTGTCGTGTGGACGCCTTCGCATGCTCTCGGGGCGTGGTCCCGGGGGTGGACAGCTCCTTCCCCGACGCGCCGAGGAGTGAGTCGTCCGTGGTCGATTCTCGAGAGGGCGCCGCGGCCGTCGTTTTCCAGGCCTGCGCCCGCCAGGTCTGGGCCCGAGGTGGTTTTCACGGAACCATATTTTGCTGAAGGGGGTCCTGTCCATGCCCGATCGGCCCGAGAAGGCCCCCGAGTCGAGCACGAGCGTCCTCGAGGATCTCTGCATGCAGGGGCCTCTTGGCACTTGGCAGCTTTTGCGTCGGTCGTTGCAGAAGCAGATGTATTTATCGGACGAGGAAGAGGCACCCATACCGCTACCCTTCGACCGTTTGGCTCGCCTCGAAATTCTGGTCAGAACGCACTCTGGGAGAGGTCCGAGGAGTAGCGGTGTCGGTACCTTTTGGTCTCCCCAATTGTTGGATTCCCAGATCCCAATCTACCTCAAGCGCCTGCCTACCTCAAGAGTTGATGCGCTTTTGCTGTGTTTTGTCATTCTCTGGGAGGGCCTGGACCCAATCTACGTTATCCGCCTTCGTATTTCATGGTTTCACCTACTTCTTCCGACCGACGTGTACTTGGGCCCTCTTGGGGCCGTTTTGGAGGCCTTCGGGACTCTATTGGGACTCTCTTGGGGCACTCTTGGTGGCTGTCGGGATCCTCCCGGGGCCATCTCGAAGGCTATCGGTCAAAAGCGATGGAGTATTGAATTCCCCCCCCTCCCGTCGGAAGCCGACACATTGAATCTTCGGTCCTCTTGTGACGCTCTTGGGCTGCTTTCAGGCGCTCGAGTGGCCGTCTTGGAGCTTTCCTGGACCCTTCTTCGATTCTCTTGGACGATCAGAGCCCCCCAAAGCAGACCAGAAGCGAAAAGGCGAGAAGGTGACACACACTAATTTTCCGTTGGTTTCGGATTTAACGCTGGACCATCTTGGGCTGTGCTGTGCCATCTTGGAGGCCGTCTTCGGATATCCGGGGCCACCCGTGAGCTGTTTTTGGGCCATCTTGGGCGCTTTGGCCCCTTGGGCAGGGCTCGTTTCGATTCCTCCGATTCGATTCGATTCGATTTCGATGGTTTCCGATTCCGATTCGATTCGATCCGGGATTCCGATTTGAGTTCCGATTTCTTATTGGAGGCATACTAGCCTGCCGATTTCTGCCGATCCGACTTTTCCCGACTCAGCTGCCGATTTCCGACGATCCGATTCATGCCGATCGCCGATCCGACTTGTCGATCCGATCCTGGGCCCTCCTGCCTTGGGGGGAGGGTAAGACCCAGAGGAGGACGGAGGTCGGAACAGCTAGCTTGCAAACTCATCCACGCCCATCTGGCTGGTGGGATTCGTTCTGGAAGCGGGGCTTCAGGCTCCTGGACCACCCGCGATGTGACCAGGATGGCTCTAAAGCGCTCCCAGGTGGGCCCATGATAGATCCGAATCAATTTCAGTGTTGAGTACGATGATGAAGGGTGACAGTGCCAGGAATCAGGGAAAACAGATCGGGTATCAAGCAAGT